TAATTGTTTTTCCTCAGAAAATTACAAACTTACCATTTCCTTCTTACCATCTCCTCTTAATTATATGGAATTTTCCCATTTTCTTATGCTGAAACTTAATCCTTCAGAATTCCCAGTTTGTCCCACATGGTTGAATGGAATGTTCAGCATTTTTATATATTATGCCTCATTAGGCAAGTAATCAGCCCAAATAGACATGTATTATGGATTTAAAGTTCTCTCATATACTCTAAACTTTGTAATAAACCACACTTCTAAATGTTTGCTAAGAGTTTTACATTGAAAATAGACTCAGAAAATGATCATGTAACACCAGTGTCATCTAGCCAATGTCACAAAGGGAGCTGCAAATGGACTCTAAGTCAGAAAAACTCATCAAATCATTGAAATCACTGGGAGCATTGTAACTAAAATTTGATCTTTTATTTAATTAAGCGAATCATCTGAAGAAATGCATGTGAAGTTGTTGAAAAAGACAGGATGTGACTCAAAAATACATGAGCCAAGCACTCTTTGTGGTGGTTGCAAATGCCACCCCAGACTGAGGAGCTGAAGAGGTACATGGTGAATCCAAGGTAGGCTGACGCTGATTCAAGGACTCAGAAAGAAAACCCACAGCTACCCAGGAGAAAGGCACTAAGAAACTGGGGATAGTCCAGTCAGGAAAGAAAAGCCTGGAGGCTGATTTCCTATTGGCCTTGAGTTTACAAAGGCTGTTAGGCAGGTTAGAGACAGAGTGTTCTCCAATGGGACAAAACAGGAAGGGATGTCATAAATGCCAGCCTAAGGGAGTAGAGACAAGCAGATTTCATAATAATGGGGCTGGTCACATTGTAGCCTGGGTCACCACTGTGTGAAAAATGTGTGACCTGAATGCCACCAGGTCCCAACACAATGAAAACAGGAAAGCAACTGCAAAAGACTGGAATGGGAATGTGTTTCTTCACAGATGGAGGATGTCATATCACACATCACAGAACAAGACTACCTGAGTGTGGGTAAAATTGGAGTATTTCCAGAATCTCTCGCCTGGCCTTAGTGCATCTCCCTATCAATAGGTATTCCCACGGGGTGGAGAGTAGTCATCTCCATATCAATAGATGATTACATGGGGGAGCAAGGGCATATCTGGACCAGAGAGGTTGGGTGGGGTCCCTTTTTTGCAGCTGGGTCGTGAGAGACATGGGCGATCAGAAGTAGACGGCTGCTTGTAGGTGATAAAAGGATTTCTCCCACTTTATTTCTCCCTTGACTGATTTCAGTTTCAAAGGTAATTTGCCCCTGGCTGGGAAAATATTTTTTCCCCAGAGTTACACTGAGAATCCTCTCTAATTCCAAACTCCAGTCATCTGGCAAACTGCACTGCTGCAGTTTGCCCCTCCCTCCTTCCCACTCTCTACCCACCCATCTCCCTCTCATTTTCTCTTTTTTTCCCTCATAGGCTCTTTTTACTTTCTCCTTTCCCCTTCTCTCCACCTTCTCAGTCTCTCTACCCACATACAGGTTGTTCCCATGGGCAAAGAGGTGGGGAGCTCAAAATACTTGTAGTGGGATTTGTTTTTTAAGGGCACACTATAATTTGTATATATATATACGCAAAGATGTGGGATCGTGGTTTTCTATGAATGACATCAACTTCCTTGCAACCCGCCTGCTATGGACTGAACTGTGTTCCCCAGAATTGATTTGGTAAAGCCTGAACCCCCACTGTAACGGTGTTGGAGGTGCAGCCTTTGGGGGTTCATTAGGTTTAGATGAGGTCGAAAGGATGGGGCCCCTATAATGGGATTATCATCCTTACAAGAAGAGGAAGAAACACCAAAGCTCGCTCTCTCCCCACCATGTGAGGACATGAGAAGTGAGGAGGAGGCTGTCTACAAGCCAGGGAGGAGGTGCTCAACAGAAATCAAATCTGCCGGCCCCTTCCTTGGTCTTGGACTGTCAACCTCTTGAATTGGGAGAACAGAGTTGCTAGTGGCTTAAACCCAGTCTATGTTATTTTATTATTTTCTTATGGCAGCCCAAGCTAGCTAACATACCCTCATTCCCACTTTGTAAGGTGGTAAAATGGGGTGAGAAGAGGAGGTACAAGCTTGCACTTAGGAATCAATCTGTTACTTTGGTTAAACAATCCTATCCAGATAAATACACAGTCAGTTCAAAGTTCAAACTCCCTCTAATCTCTCTTGTTCCTCCTTCCCAAAATGGGGACTTGAAAGTAAGGCAGAGATTACATATCTCTGAGGGCATCTGAGGGGGGATAATTGGCCCGAGCTGACCTCCTCACCACCTCGTCATACCCTGCTGGTGACATTCATGGGCGGTTCTTCTGGCAAAGCTGGGGATCTCGGGCTCTTTTCCTCTGTTAACTGGCTCCACCTTAGCCCAGGCTGGCCCTTACGGCCTCCGAGTCACTTTCCACATCATCTTCCAGCAGTACGTGAGAGAGGTGTGCTTGGGGCCATCCTTTCTGTTGCTGTCACAGTCCTAGCAGGCGCCTGTCAACTGCTGTATCAGGACCCGTGCGAACTTCCGGATCCTTGCGTATCACTCAGAAGCCAAGGAACCCTGGGACTCTGTGTTTGTCCCTCTCTATGCTGAGGTGCTCCCTTCAGCCGTTTCTACTTTGCTACCTGGATTGTACCATACTGGATATAGTGATTCTGTTAGAAGGCTTGAGATTTTCCTGTTCTCTCTCTAGGAACACTAAAAACAAAACTACTCTGGGAATACCCCAAAAAACTATATGGTTATTCTTAAGTTCCTCTCTCCTTTCGCTATGAAGGTATGAGGAGAAAATCAGAGTCCTCTTATTTCACCGCTCTGCTCCCTTCCTCCTCCTGCCCCCTCCTCTCTCTCTGTCTTGGGTGTTGAGTGTGTGTGCTCGTCTGTGTCTGTCTCTCTCTCCTTCCCACCCCCACTGCACACAGAGCTTCCCAGAAACTAGACGTGTTACCTACTTTCTCTTTCCATTAGATGGGAAACAGTGTCACAATTTCCTTCAGAACTTCTTTGATACTGTCCTTTCCCTCCCTGGGAAATAAGCCTTAATGGTTAGGGTGGAGGAAGAACAGGAATTAGGAAAATAAAAATTACATATGTAAAAATAGCATTCTTATTATATATTTTGGGGACCAATTTATCTCTGCTTAATGGGGCATAAATGTAAATTAATCTTCTCCCTAATCCCTGCTATGCTGTTGTGATTTATAGTAAGAAATAAAAAAAAAAAAGAAATACGTATTTGGTCTTTCTTCATTCCTGGCACAGAGTTCCTAAATGCCTTGGAATTTCCTTAACAATGAGCAGTACAGGTGTCTTCTGTTTTGTCAATGAGGTGACTTTTGGACACACTTATGGATGCAAGCTGGTTGCCAAGGGACCCAACCCTGTGATCAGAGGAACTTTCAGTCCCACCCTGTGACTTCTGGGGAGGTGATAGAGGCTAGAGGTTGAGTCTATCAACCAAGGCCTTTTACTGTAATTTAAATTTAATGTAATTTAGGTTTAGTGTAATGCAGTCTCCATAAAATTAAAAAAAAGGAAGGGGGTTCTAAGAGCTTCCAGGTTGGTGAACCAGAACATTTCCACATGCCACCACACCAGGCCCCAAACTCCACAGGAACAAAGCTCCTTTGTTTGGGGCTGTGCCCTATGTCTCACTTCATGTAGCTATTGATTTGTATCCTTAAATGTCCTTTGTAGTAGGCTGGTAATCCAGTGAGTAAGTTGGTTTCCTGAGTTCTCTGAGCCACTCTTGCAAATTAATCAAACCCAAGGAGGAGGCTGCAGGAACCTCCAGTTTAGAGCCAGTTGGGCAGAAGCACAGGAAAACGATCTGGACTTTCAATTGGCTTCTGAAGTGGGGGCTGTCTTGTGAGAATGAGCCCTTAACCTATTAAAAAAACAAAATTCAGCAAAGGAAATTGGAAGATCTAATTGGCTTTCTTAAGTATTTGTGAAACGGGCAGCCCCCATCTAGCAAGTAGAGAGATGTCCCAGGTTGTGCAAAATGGAAGGTTTTTGCAGGAAGGAGGTGGGCTGAAAAGTTATCACCAAAAGAAAAGATTAGAGATTGTTTTAGGCCAGGTTACCCTCCCCTAGGGGGAAGAGTAAGGGGCCTTATGCAGATGACCTGACCACTGATGAGGAAATTCCAGATTGACTAGCTTAAAATTCCACTCCTGAGAGAGGCTGAAACTGCAAGTAGGTTGGGTATTAAACCCCAGTTTGGTGACTTGGCTTAGCAGAAGCATGAATGCCACCAGGTCCCAACACAATGAAAACAGGAAAGCAACTGCAAAAGACTGGAATGGGAATGTGTTTCTTCACAGATGGAGGATGTCATATCACACATCACAGAACAAGACTACCTGAGTGTGGGTAAAATTGGAGTATTTCCAGAATCTCTCGCCTGGCCTTAGTGCATCTCCCTATCAATAGGTATTCCCAAGGGGTGGAGAGTAGTCATCTCCATATCAATAGATGATTACATGGGGGAGCAAGGGCATATCTGGACCAGAGAGGTTGGGTGGGGTCCCTTTTTTGCAGCTGGGTCGTGAGAGACATGGGCGATCAGAAGTAGACGGCTGCTTGTAGGTGATAAAAGGATTTCTCCCACTTTATTTCTCCCTTGACTGATTTCAGTTTCAAAGGTAATTTGCCCCTGGCTGGGAAAATATTTTTTCCCCAGAGTTACACTGAGAATCCTCTCTAATTCCAAACTCCAGTCATCTGGCAAACTGCACTGCTGCAGTTTGCCCCTCCCTCCTTCCCACTCTCTACCCACCCATCTCCCTCTCATTTTCTCTTTTTTTCCCTCATAGGCTCTTTTTACTTTCTCCTTTCCCCTTCTCTCCACCTTCTCAGTCTCTCTACCCACATACAGGTTGTTCCCATGGGCAAAGAGGTGGGAAGCTCAAAATACTTGTAGTGGGATTTGTTTTTTAAGGGCACACTATAATTTGTATATATATATACGCAAAGATGTGGGATCGTGGTTTTCTATGAATGACATCAACTTCCTTGCAACCCGCCTGCTATGGACTGAACTGTGTTCCCCAGAATTGATTTGGTAAAGCCTGAACCCCCACTGTAACGGTGTTGGAGGTGCAGCCTTTGGGGGTTCATTAGGTTTAGATGAGGTCGAAAGGATGGGGCCCCTATAATGGGATTATCATCCTTACAAGAAGAGGAAGAAACACCAAAGCTCGCTCTCTCCCCACCATGTGAGGACATGAGAAGTGAGGAGGAGGCTGTCTACAAGCCAGGGAGGAGGTGCTCAACAGAAATCAAATCTGCCGGCCCCTTCCTTGGTCTTGGACTGTCAACCTCTTGAATTGGGAGAACAGAGTTGCTAGTGGCTTAAACCCAGTCTATGTTATTTTATTATTTTCTTATGGCAGCCCAAGCTAGCTAACATACCCTCATTCCCACTTTGTAAGGTGGTAAAATGGGGTGAGAAGAGGAGGTACAAGCTTGCACTTAGGAATCAATCTGTTACTTTGGTTAAACAATCCTATCCAGATAAATACACAGTCAGTTCAAAGTTCAAACTCCCTCTAATCTCTCTTGTTCCTCCTTCCCAAAATGGGGACTTGAAAGTAAGGCAGAGATTACATATCTCTGAGGGCATCTGAGGGGGGATAATTGGCCCGAGCTGACCTCCTCACCACCTCGTCATACCCTGCTGGTGACATTCGTGGGCGGTTCTTCTGGCAAAGCTGGGGATCTCGGGCTCTTTTCCTCTGTTAACTGGCTCCACCTTAGCCCAGGCTGGCCCTTACGGCCTCCGAGTCACTTTCCACATCATCTTCCAGCAGTACATGAGAGAGGTGTGCTTGGGGCCATCCTTTCTGTTGCTGTCACAGTCCTAACAGGCGCCTGTCAACTGCTGTATCAGGACCCGTGAGAACTTCCGGATCCTTGCGTATCACTCAGAAGCCAAGGAACCCTGGGACTCTGTGTTTGTCCCTCTCTATGCTGAGGTGCTCCCTTCAGCCGTTTCTACTTTGCTACCTGGATTGTACCATACTGGATATAGTGATTCTGTTAGAAGGCTTGAGATTTTCCTGTTCTCTCTCTAGGAACACTAAAAACAAAACTACTCTGGGAATACCCCAAAAAACTATATGGTTATTCTTAAGTCCCTCTCTCCTTTCGCTATGAAGGTATGAGGAGAAAATCAGAGTCCTCTTATTTCACCGCTCTGCTCCCTTCCTCCTCCTGCCCCCTCCTCTCTCTCTCTGTCTTGGGTGTTGAGTGTGTGTGCTCGTCTGTGTCTGTCTCTCTCTCCTTCCCACCCCCACTGCACACAGAGCTTCCCAGAAACTAGACGTGTTACCTACTTTCTCTTTCCATTAGATGGGAAACAGTGTCACAATTTCCTTCAGAACTTCTTTGATACTGTCCTTTCCCTCCCTGGGAAATAAGCCTTAGTGGTTAGGGTGGAGGAAGAACAGGAATTAGGAAAATAAAAATTACATATGTAAAAATAGCATTCTTATTATATATTTTGGGGACCAATTTATCTCTGCTTAATGGGGCATAAATGTAAATTAATCTTCTCCCTAATCCCTGCTATGCTGTTGTGATTTATAGTAAGAAATAAAAAAAAAAAAGAAATACGTATTTGGTCTTTCTTCATTCCTGGCACAGAGTTCCTAAATGCCTTGGAATTTCCTTAACAATGAGCAGTACAGGTGTCTTCTGTTTTGTCAATGAGGTGACTTTTGGACACACTTATGGATGCAAGCTGGTTGCCAAGGGACCCAACCCTGTGATCAGAGGAACTTTCAGTCCCACCCTGTGACTTCTGGGGAGGTGATAGAGGCTAGAGGTTGAATCTATCAACCAAGGCCTTTTACTGTAATTTAAATTTAATGTAATTTAGGTTTAGTGTAATGCAGTCTCCATAAAATTAAAAAAAAGGAAGGGGGTTCTAAGAGCTTCCAGGTTGGTGAACCAGAACATTTCCACATGCCACCACACCAGGCCCCAAACTCCACAGGAACAAAGCTCCTTTGTTTGGGGCTGTGCCCTATGTCTCACTTCATGTAGCTATTGATTTGTATCCTTAAATGTCCTTTGTAGTAGGCTGGTAATCCAGTGAGTAAGTTGGTTTCCTGAGTTCTCTGAGCCACTCTTGCAAATTAATCAAACCCAAGGAGGAGGCTGCAGGAACCTCCAGTTTAGAGCCAGTTGGGCAGAAGCACAGGAAAACGATCTGGACTTTCAATTGGCTTCTGAAGTGGGGGCTGTCTTGTGAGAATGAGCCCTTAACCTATTAAAAAAACAAAATTCAGCAAAGGAAATTGGAAGATCTAATTGGCTTTCTTAAGTATTTGTGAAACGGGCAGCCCCCATCTAGCAAGTAGAGAGATGTCCCAGGTTGTGCAAAATGGAAGGTTTTTGCAGGAAGGAGGTGGGCTGCAAAGTTATCACCAAAAGAAAAGATTAGAGATTGTTTTAGGCCAGGTTACCCTCCCCTAGGGGGAAGAGTAAGGGGCCTTATGCAGATGACCTGACCACTGATGAGGAAATTCCAGATTGACTAGCTTAAAATTCCACTCCTGAGAGAGGCTGAAACTGCAAGTAGGTTGGGTATTAAACCCCAGTTTGGTGACTTGGCTTAGCAGAAGCGACCCCATGTTTTTCTTTTTAACAAACCTATTGTTTCACAAACCTATCTGATACTATCTCCAGGTAGATACTATAAGAACTGAATTGTAGGACACCCAGCCAGTGTCTGAAAAATTGCTTGGTGATGTGCAGGAAAAACCCACACTACAGTTAGTACACAGAATGGTACTAATGGTGCTGCCTTCATCCATATTCCACATTTCCCTTTCCTACCCCTCCATGATATTCTGGGCAGAGTGTGTCACTTTCTATTTTATCACCTTTAGTTATTAAGAAAAAGACCATCTAAAACTTCAGTTTCAAACTCTTACATAAATTCCATCTCCTACCACCTAGAAAAAGGCGTAAACTGGAACCTTGACTGCTTGGAATGAGATGAGGCTGGAAGGAGCCCTGTCTCTGAAACACCCCCCTGTACCTCCCTCTCCCAGGGGCAACTCCTCTCGAGAATTGGAATGAAGAGAGGGACCTCCTCTCATGGTGCACAGTCCTGAAAGATTGGGGGGAGCACGAGGGCTGTACAGCAAGGTGGCTAAAAAATAGCTGCCTTCCATATGTCCTCTTGTCCTAAGGAATTTCTTGCACCCTGGTCATGCCACATAATAGGTGGGCAAGCTGACTGTTCCCTGTCCCATCTCCCACCTGCCAGCCAGCTCTCTCCAGCTTCTGTCTTCTCTGACCTGGTAAGAGTAGGTAGCCCAGCAAGAGTGCTGCCTAAGCAGAGGTCACCAGGGGGGAGTCCCTAGAAGTCTAGATTTTGGAGCCTCTTTCTTCACTTGGTAATGGAAGTCAGGAGAAGTCTGCCCCCACTGGAAGGGGAAGAATTGCCCACCCCATTCCTCCCCAGGCTTCTTTTGTAGACCAGAGACTGGGTACTAAGGGGCAGGGGATATAGATAGATAGGGACAGATACCCAGTTCTTTGGCCCCTCAGGAAAACTTTAGAAAAAGTGTCAGACCCCAATCCTGTTTTAGCTCTGGGTCCTTTTGTCAAACAGACAGAAAAACTCCCTCTTCTTACCCCACCATTTTTATAATTGAATTCCCCCTATCATGTTGGGAACCCTTTCTTCCAAAATCTTTGAAATAAGATACACTCTCACTTCCCCAGATGGATGAAACGAGTTCTCACCTGCAATCACTGACTCATGTCACATGAAATTTCAAGGTCCCTTCTAAGGATCCTATGATTCTGTGGAAACAAGAAAAGAAGCAAGTTACATATATGAAATTAGGTAGATAACTGAAACTAATTCTTTTTCCTTATTTCTGAGTGAATTAAAGGTTTCCCCCCTAAAGCTGATCTTTAATTCACCAATTACTTATTTTCTACAAGTTACCAGTAGTTGAATCATTTGTTTTCCCTTTCTTCTCCATCTTCTGTTCAACTCTCTAAGTCGACCATATCTTTACTACAAAACAGCTCCTGCCAATGAATTTGGCCAACTATATACTACTTGTAATTTTAGATAAATTTAATCTGAGCAGAATTTGGATTTTATTTAACATGCAAATCTATAGTGATACCCAAGAATCTCTGCTCTGAAACATTTTTGGATGTGTGTGAGTAGGCAGTCTACATCTTTAAAGAGGAAAAAACAAAACACTTGTTTGAATCATTGCAGAAGCTTCAATTTAATAGTAATATGCTGCCTCCTTCTGGATAAACTGCATTAGGCAATGATAAGCTTGTGAAACTGCTACAGAGGTGTCATTTTATGAATAATATTTTTTTTAAAGAATACGAATTCTACTTTTTTTAATTAAAAAGTAAAATTAGAAGACTAAGATAAACCTTGACAGGTGAACTAGATTCCACCTTTGGGGCTATAAAACACTTAAACTGTCCTGCATAGCTGACTTGATTATCTGACTTTCTTTTAGAGATCTCTGAACAATAATTGAGAAAGTAGGAAACAGATTATAAAATTGGAATCAGCATCATTTTCACCTTTACAGCAGGCTACCATAACATCCCATTGGCACAATCATTTATGCATACACACATATTCATACTACATGCTTGGAAAAACATGTATGCATATTAATAAATGCAATCAAGTACTTAAGTATTCTTGTCTTAATTCTATAGCCTGTAGACATGTGAATTTTGGCCAGCCACTTAATAAGTCCCAGCTTCCTTATCTGCACACTGAGAATAATAAACCCATTATTACGGAACTCAAACACACTTTGTGAGGCTCACTGAAGTCAACAAAGCACTATGTGAGGTATTAAACTCATTTTTATCCTTAAGGCTTTAAATGGTCACATGCCTGAAGCATAAGAATAGAACCAGATTTGTGGCCAACAAAAAGAAAAATGCTTAATGGTGTCCTGTTTATTAAGTAACTGCAGCTAGTTTGGTTACATTCAAATCAATCAACTCTAATATCTGAAGTACAAGCTGGACAAGGAGGTTACAAATAACCCCAGACCACAATTATTCAAAAGTAAAATCTACTCTCCATTGTCCAGGGACAGTTTACCCCAACCCATCCAAAAGAGCAAGTCAACCAAGGCAAAGACCCACAGCAAGCCCTGTTTGCTCAGCCTCATCCTTGAACCAACATCCCCAAATCCCACCTGAAGCCCAAGCCCAGGATGATCAGGTGCTGACTGTGCCCTGGTTCTAGTAAAGGGATGTTCATGATTCTCCAAGGATGCTTTAACCAAACCGGTTTTAACCAAAATTCAAACCAGCTAAGAGAGCAAAGGACACTCCAAATATTCTGATCCCTACTCAGCCTCTCACTAGTGGCCACACAATTTATCCACTCTGTACCTCAATTAGTAGTACGACAGTAGTACCTACTTCATTAGTTTGTTTCAAAGATCGAATGAGTTAATACAAGTGGAACACTCACAGCAGTGTCTGGCATGTAAGCATTCAATATATGTAAGCTCCTGCTACCGTTATTATCGCACTACTTGTCCATTATTTATGGCATTAATTCATGGACAAATGACATGTCTCTCTCACAGTTCTTCAACTTTCTTAGACTGTAGGTTGATCCTTTAAATTCTCTGGCCATCAGTATTTAGAATCTTGTTCCTATACTAGTTACCTGGTATTACATATATACTTTTTATTTTTCAATTACAAAGTAATGAATTATAACTACTGGTGCTGTTCAATGATAGAGTAGCCAGAAAAGCAACAATTCTTTGTTTTGAAGCCATATGAGTAGATGTGCCTTGAATAAAAGCTGGGACTTATGCACGTTTCAATCTGTTAATCATTTTTTATGATGAGGAAATATTCCAATTCCATGTTACTCCAAGAGCAGAAGCAGCGATAACATCCCTGACTCAAAAAACTACTTGGTGTCTAGTCACCCGAAGAAAAAATACTAGAAGGCACCAAAACTGTTTGAGAAAAAAATGACACTTGGCCACTAGATGACATTTAAATTATGTAGCAAGTTTCAGCTCACACCTGATCTATTTAAAACCTTAATTAGTTTGCACTTGGCTCAAGCACTGTCAAATTCATATATTTTGACACTCCAAGAACTCTCATGAGTTGGCTGAATTGAGGCTTTGGAATATCTACAGCAGAGCCTGCAACCACAGACATAAAATCCTTTTGGAATTATGCAAAGAAGTAATTTTAAATTTCTGCCTGAAATCTTTAGATCAGTTTTTTTTTTCTTTAAGTAAATTATCTAGGGTAAGATTGAGAGGCTGGATAACATGTCTTTTCAAATCACTGGTGCAACATGACATCTTCATGACCACAGAGCAGCATAATTCAGTGGCAGCTTGTCTCAGCTGGCCATGGGTAATCCGAACCCAGCTTCTGCCATCTGACCAAGTCCAGCAGCCTAATAGTATCTGCCATTTACTTTTCAATCCATTCCTAGGCCAGCCATGGAATAGTGAAACACCCCAGAGGAGAAAGAAATAGAATCTTATCCTTATTGAATAAAAAAAGAAGCTGTTATAAAGAAAGGAGAGCAATTAGGACAACTATTTTAATCTCCCACAAGGATATTAGTAGGGAAACATTTTAAGTGTCAACATTAAAACTGAGATAGCCATAAAGATGAAATAGGTACTAACACTACAAAATAAGTGTGTGTGTATGTGTTCTGTCCGTTTAATAGAGAAGACACTTCTATTTGGGGAGAATTTGCATAGAGACACCAAGGACATAGTAAATGATGCTTTTTAGTTTTTTCATAAATTTCAGAAGGCGCCCTCTCAAAATTTAAACCTATGGTGCTAAATTCAAGTTGTCCACTAGATGGCTCTAATACATACTGAGCTCCTTTAAACAAGGGAACATTTATTGCCATAATAAAACCCAGCGTATTTAATTTTATATGTGTGAAGTTCTCTTCTAAAATCATGCAGTGGTCATCTTATACATTATTAATGACCCACAGAGATGGAGAATTGAACACATGCTTTTTATCCCCACTCTCTTCCAAATCCCCCTGAAAAGACAGAAAAGGAAAATAAAAGTTATAAATCTACAATGAAATTAAGAACAGGAAATACAAAAACAGCAGACCAAATCCCATCTTTAGGAAGCTGGCAAACCGGTGGTTGAGTGTAACTAATCTAGGACTAATCTAGGAAAAAATCTGAAACCCCAGCACTAACAGAGAGGGGACCAGTGAGAAGCAAGTCTACCCATCTCAGGACCCTAGGGGCTCAGAGATTAAAGTGCCCCCTGCCATCACCCAGTCCTAGAAAGACAGGGACTGGGAGTGAACTGAAAATAGAATAAAATGGGGGGAAATCTTCATATTGGTCTACATGACCTTCCAGTCCCAGTCCCTTTACCTAGTCATTTCCCAGAAAGGTGTCAAACCAGACCAATTTGTCCCTCCAAAAACAGACACTCCATTTCACTTCAAGTGATGGATCCTTCTGTGCTCTAACACTGAGTAAGCCCTCTAGAAATCTGTCCCCTCCTGGCTTTATAAGCCTCTAGTGAAGCTCACCTCTCATCAAGCTTCCCCCTTCCCATCAAAATCAGCTTTTCTAATCCTCGATCTTAAATACAGGTACACAGTCAAGTTCACCAGACATTTTAGGAAAGCCTCCAACTTAAGAGACACAGACAGATGAATAAATAAATAAATAAATAACTTAAAAGAAACAGAAATAATGCAGACAATAGAAGAAATTTCAGAAAAAAATAATAATTAGTATCCTATGAAAAAGAAGAAAAGCTGTTGGATCCATGACACAGAATAAGGTGTTATTTAAAAGTTTTTTTTTTAATAAAGAAGCAATAAGAGAAAAATAAAAGGCTTTTGGAAATTAAAGGTATAATAATAAGAATAAAAACTATTTCAATAGAAAGTTTAGAGAAGAATTTTAAGGAAACAACCCATAATATAAATAAATAAATGAAAATAAGAAAAAAATGATAAGAATATTAAAAGGTAAGTCCAAGGCTCCCCAACATCAGACTAATAAAACTTCTAGAAAAAGAAATGAGAAAAAGAAATGAGAATAAATTGTGAAAATTAATTAAGGGAATCCTCACTGATGTGGTGTCAGGAGGCCTACAGAAGGTCTCATGCCCACCATTCCTCATCAATCTCAGATCCCATCAGAAGAGAGAGATGCCACACTATTTTATCTACTCTACCCCACAGCAGGAACAAGACTTCCACCTTCTGCCTTCTGGCTACAGCTCAGCCAATGAGAAGCCACAATACATGGGAGTTTCAGTTTACTCCAATGGACTTTTGGCTTAGAAACAGCGCTCCTAACTCCACCCCTTCCTCTATAAAATGGTGTTCCTCTCCTTTTGTTTTCAGGACATGCCTGTGGTTCTGCTGTAGGTGACATGTCCTAGGTTACAGTTCTCTGGTATTCCTGAATAGACCTATTTTTGCTGGTAGGATAACTGACTTAGTTTTAAGGGTAACAAAAAAAAAAAAAGGAGGAAACTATTAAATAAATAAAAGAACATTACCCAAAACTGAAAGAAATGAGTTTCCAGATTGAAAGCATCTACCTACTGTGAACATCTATCTACTGAAAGCAACTACCCAGTTTATTGAATTAAAAAAAAAAATACCTAAGGCACATCACTGTACAACTCAGAACATAAGGGATAAAGAAATAATCCTAAAAGCCCTGGGAGTGGGGGGAAGTGAATAGTTACAAATATAGAACAAGTAATCCACATACTGGATGTCTAAACCACAGTGGAAAACAGAAGCC